ATGTTCAAAAATAGGTAGAACATAATATTAGAAAGAGGTCACTGAGACAACTCCTGAATTCATAGATTAAATATGCAACAAGAGAGAACTCACGAGTCTGGGGCCTGCATGCCTGAACTTGTAGAAGACTCGGAGGCTTCGTCAGCGAGCGCAGCCTCGCCGAGCTCAGGCAACCGAGTAGCTGAAGATGACACAGGCTGATGACGCCTGGGCAGCAAGAGACCAGAGACACGCAAGATACTGGGGATCCCAAGTCCACCAGGAACAGGCGCAGCGGCCGTGGTAGCTGTGGCTTGATCATGTGGCAGTTTGCGTTGAAGAATGGCAGATAAACCGCTAGAAATGCTGGTTCCATGATTAGAATTAATGAACTTTGTTTTCGTTCTTCTGCGTACAGGCATCTCAAGCTGGCGATATGATCGAAAATGGGTAAAAAATAGTAGAAAATGCTTTTTAAAAATCGTTCAAAGTAAACGATGAACCATAAAAAAGTTATTAAAAAGAGCTGTCAAAAGATTAAAAAGTCTCTAGATATAGGAAAAAAGTAAAATAAAATGGAACATTTAGCCTAAAAATAGTTGAGGCTTGGTTCACTTAAATTAGCTTGAAAAGTTCTATGGTAAGACCTCTAGGGTCTACGTCAATGAAATAATGATTAAAAAAAGGTCAACCGCTAATATGACTTAGGGAAAATATCTAAGGTTCAGCAAGATGCCCTTGTCGAACGTTCTAAAGGGATTGAATAAAAGGCTTTTAAGCAAATGATGAATAAGGAGTGCATCCAACACAATATGGAAAGAAGTGGGTCGACCTCATTGTCACAACTTGGTCTTGTTGTAAGGGCGACTTAATACAGCGCACCTAGTCCGAAGTCGTCTGCCATAGTAGTTGTCATAATTATCAGCATAAGACAGTGGACTTGGTACATTCTCAAACGTTTCGCCGGAATTGTAATCGGGATCATCAGTGAGTTCTGCCATTCTCCGCACCAAGCGACGAACTCGTCAAAGAGACAAGTGAAGTCAATCCCTCGACAAATGTTCTGCCGAAAACAGTTACACTATCACTCCTATTTCTGTCCTGGCCTATCAATATACTCGGGCCTCCAATCCGGATCCCCTCATTGTCTCGTAGATCCGTTCCTTATCTTTCTAGTTGACCGATTTCACTCGGTTCCAGTCCTAGTGTGCATTTCACTCCAGGTACTATTTCTGAAAGCCCTAGAAGCACGTACACTGCCACCTTACAGAATATATCACCTAGGCTCTGATTCCCATGCTTGCAGATATCAGGTATTCCCTTTGTGGGTCGTCTTGATTAAACCCATGTTACCTGAGCAAACTGTGGACACCTATCTCTGGTCGCATGCGACATATCAAGTTTATTTATAGTACATTTTGGCCATAACGCCGAATTTTTGTAACGGTTTGCTTATCCATCTGCCCAGACTCTCTGACTATCAGGCCCCCAAAATTATACTGATTTATTCGAAACGGACATCACTTATTGACGTCTTCGTTTTATTGCCGAAAATCCCCGCCCCCTATTTTCCTCATCGCGATCACTTTACCTCCGGTTAGCGATATATCCTTGATCCAGACGTCTCCTTTTTGCTGTTCTTGCTCTATTCTTGTTTTTCCCAAGTTTTCTTAGGCAGTAGATAAAGTTATCACTAACTCTACCTTCCACCAATCTCCTGTTCATTAGATATTTCTCCCCAACCATGTCAATGACCTTCTTAATCTTCCGCTTCCTTGTGTTTTCACCGTATGGGACCCTTATTTCTGTTGCCTTCCAATTGATCTAGTGTCCAGTTTGTGCGATTTGTTCCGCTAGTTCTGATTGTTCGATCTCCATTTTCCTGCAGAGTCCTCGATGTTCCTCGAAACCTACAA